AAGTAAAAAACTAAGTGACCGGTCAGATTCCAGTTCCAGGGAGGAGAGTAGAAAAGACACAGAGGGACCGGTGTGCTCACAGCTCTCGTGCAGCGACACACGTTATCATGTAGAGTCTCCACAGCAGGACGCACACACGGCCTTCTTTCACCTAGCCAGTTTTGAAGTCCTGGATCTCAATCCCCAAAGTCATAATCTTATCTTCTCCAGCGAGTGGAGGTAAATATACAATAGGAAGGGGATTTCCACAAATGAAACCTCCTTAAAGTAAGTTCTAAAAACACTGTGATGGCATTCAGATTTCCCAAAATCCTTGTATCTAATATGGTCGAACTCTAATCAGAAAAAAGAACCTTACTTGAATTGCAGAATCTTCACGATATCTTAAAATAGGTGATCTTTATGGTACACTCTGAAGTTGAAGCTGATACGTGAATACCCCTTCAGCATATGATTTGATATTGCCAAAATGAATGAAAAATAAGAACTCTAGTAAGTTTGGAGTACTATATTTTGAAATGATATAATGTAATCTTGCATGATCGATTATCTTCTCCTACTTAATAGATTCCACTTCACCTTAAGACAGGGCTTTTCCGCCTCAGCCCTATTCACATTTTGAACTGAGTAATTCTTTGTCGTTGGGGGACGTTCCGTTCATTGCAGGATGTTTACCGGTATCCTTGGCAATCCTTAATCTTACTTTCTGCCGCTATGAATTTGCCTGTGCTGGAAGTTTCATATAAATTGTATACAATAAGTGACTTTTGTATCCGCCTTCCTTCATTTAGTATGTTTTCAAGGTTCATCTGTGTTGTCACATTTAACAGTAGTTCATTCCTTTGTATGACTAAATGATGCTCGTCATGTGACTGTACCACATTTTGTTCCTTCACTGAACTGATGAGATATTAGGTTGTTTCCACTTTCTGGTCATCATGAATAACGCTGTTGTGAACATTCATGTGTAAGTTTTGGCGTGGACATGTGTTTTCTGTTTTGTGTGTAGACACCTAAGAGGAGAAGTGCTAAATGGATACCTTAACCTTTTGAGGAATCGCCAAACCGCTTTCCACAGTGGCTGCACCATTTTCCAATCCCATAAGCAACATTTCAGAATTCCGATTTCTCAGAATTATTGCCCATATTTGTTATCATCTGTCTTTTTTATAACAGCCATCTGAGTGGGTGTGGCTATCTCACTGTAGTTCTGATTTGCTTCCCACGTGATTCATGTGATTGAGCATCGTTTCCTGTGCTTCTTGGCCATTTGTATATCTTCGGAAAAAGATCTGTTCAAATCTTTTGC